CCATTCGAGGGCCTCCGCCCTAGTCGTGGCCCAACCCCTCCCACCTCAGAGCCTGACCTTCAAAACTCGACCCTAAATTCCCTCTTCCAATCCACTCTATCCAGACATCTCCCTAAACCCTTCCACAGCTCCGCAGCACCCTTGGAGTCAAGTCCACTTTCAGGACAAACTCTAGCCCCTTAGCCTGACTTTGGACATGCTCTCCAGGCCACGCCCTCCCCACTACCTCCCACTGGTCCTTCACTCCAGCCAAATGAACTTAACTCACTTCCTCAATTACCTATGCTCTTGCTTATCTCTGGGCCTTAGTCCACATGGACCCTCTGCCTAACATTCTTTCTCCCTCTCCTCCCCTAGCTAACTCTTCCCCTTCAAGTCTCACCTCATCCAGAAAGCCTTCCCTGAAGCCCCAGCCTGGGTGAGAAGTCCCCGCTAAGCTTGTCTAGCTCTGTGCACTTCCCCATCCTAGCCCTAACCAGCCCCCCTTCCCCAAGCTGTTACCATTTGGTGACAGGCTTGTCTCTCTCACAGCATTGTGGGTCTGAGAGGGCAGGGCTGGGGGCTCCCTTAGCCACTGTGTGTCCCCTTATGCCAGTACAGTGAACAGTAAATGCTAAGGAACAGCCAAGAGAAACTCCTGTCTTTATGGTACTCGAATACAGGTAACCGGAGGTACAGGCCCATCCAGTCTCCTGTAGCACCATACACACAAGTGCACGCACACATCCTCCACACCCACTGTGCTCACCATGGGCTTGTCGTAGAATGGGAAACCCTGCATGGAGCGCAGGGCATTGGTGGCACTGCTGACCTCCTTAAAGATGACAAAGGCCTGGCCCCTCATCTTCAGGCTCCGTGACACCAGGATATCCAGGATCTGGCCAAACTGGGAGAAGATGGCATACAGGGACTTCTTCAGCTCTGCAGGGAGGAACACAAATCACATGTGCAAAGGGTATACTACAAATTTGAGCACTTCTTTTCCTTGTAGCAGCTGGACTGGCCCTTGCAATGTGGCTCTAGCCATCTCCTCCAACCTCTTCTCCCCCCATACTCTACCTCACTCCAATAGCTTCAGCCACACTGGCCTCCTAACCCTTACCTAGCCCATCATACCAATTAAGCCTCAGGATCTTTGCACTGGCCGCTCCCTTTACCGTCAACACCTTTCTCCTAATGTCTACACAGCAGCCTCCTTCTAGTCACCCAGGTCTCAAAGGCCTTCCCTAAACACTCTGTCTAAAGAAATGCCCCTCAGGTCACTCCCCTCCTCATGCCCTGCTTGCTTTCCTTCCTGACATCTTCCACCACCTGCTAACATCATCTTTGTTTACTTGTTGTCTAGCTCTCCTTCTGAAGAGAAGCATTTGTTCACTGCAGTATCTCCATGCTCAGTTCAGACTGCAGCATACAAACTCCAAAAATATTTGCACAAATAAAGATACCATTGTTTTCGAGGCGGGGGGGAATCACTAAAGACTTCATTTTGGGTCTATTGTCTCTTTTTTAGCAAGAAAAAACCCCAGATTTTTAAAAAATAAAACCTCTTGATTTAAAAAAAAAAAAAGTCACTATATTCTCACAACCACCCCATGAGGTGGCAACTTTAACTGTCCCAATTTGGCTAACTTGTAAGCAGGTTTTCATTTGTCACTGACCCAGGAGTGTCCCACGGGTTCTGGGAAGACCCTGTAGAGCCGGGACTCAAGTAAATCTAAACCCAGTGTCACACTTCACTAGCAAACTACTTTACTTGACAGCAGGAACAGAGTACCAATCTTATGCAAAGAAAGTATCTGAGCTGAAGATGTTGGTGAAAAGATGCTCGGGGAGGAAAAAAAAAAGAAAATGTGTGGGGGCAATGGGACTAGAGGGGAAGCAAAGGTGTTTTGAAGCAGTTAACCAAAAATAATTCTGATGACATTTCTGGGTTTTGTTTCCGTCCCCCATCCCCATGAACCCGGTCTGGGCCTCAGCTGTCTCCCTGGATTCCGGGCCTCTCCACATTTGCCCATCTAGCCCACTCCCTCCATTACTGGAAGATCTTTCACAACTGAATTCCCTGCCTGGCTCCCCATGCCCTCAGGACAAAGTCCAATGCCTCACCCAGCCCACAGGCCCCATGAGACATCAGCACACTGCTCACTGGAGTCTTCTCAGTTAAGTCACAGGCCAGAGGTAGGGCTCGGGTGCACACACAATTACCTGTAGTTCCCAGCTGCCGGGCTCTTGTCCCTAGACCAGTGATATTCAATTTTTTCCATCTCATGGCACACATAGACTAATTACTAACATTCTGTGGCACACCAAAGAATATATTTTTTGCCAATCTGACACTAAAAAAAATTAAGTATAATTTTGATTCATTCACACCAGACAGCTATTGTTGTGTTGGCTGTTGTCATTTTTTAATTTGACAATCTGTGGAAAAAGAGGTCAGGGCCCCTGACTAAATAGTCAGCTATTGCATGTTTAAATAATTTTAGCAGCACACCGGTTGAAAAATTGCTGCCCTAGACATTTGCATATGCTGGTCCAGGTTAGGAACACTCTTCTCCCTACTTCCAACATAAATGCTATTTTTGATCTACAACTGGGAATCCAAGTATACGGATGGCCAACCTAGGTTATACGTGGATTTTCTACTGCGTGGGTGGTCAGCGCTCCTAACAGGTGTTGTTCAAGGGTCAAATGTACTGCTTCCTCTACCTGTAAAGCTTTTCCAAAATATCTCCTTTTCTATGAAATTCAATGAATCCTTCTCTCTCAGGGCCCAATCTCAGCCCTGTGCTTTCCCTAGCTACTCTGGGTTATCACCATCTCCTAGTAGGTCCCTCATTGCCACTGGACTTGTGGCTCCATGAAGGCAGGACCAAAACTGTCCCAGTGACCAGTGTGTCCCCAGCACCAAAAAGTACTATCTAAGCACGATGCTCTAAAAGCACATGGGCGATTTACCTTATTTTGTTTTCAACAGCAAGTTTATCAGTAACCTCAAACTTAATCCAACAAGCTTCTTTGGTTCTTCCCACAATTTTCTTGCGGTAATAATCCGAGCTAACATTTATTCAGCCCTAACTGCTGGATACCATAAGAAAGCAACACACCCTGGCTGGTGTGGCTCAGTGGACTGAGTGCCAGCCTGCGAACCAAAGGGTCACCAGATCAATTCCCAGGCAGGGCACATGCCTGGGTTGCGGGCCAGGTCCTTGGTTGAGGGGGTGCAAGAGGCAGCGGATCTATGTATCTCTTGCACACTGATGTTTCTCTCCCTCTCTTTCGCCTTCCCTTCCCCTCGCTAAAAATAAATAGCTAAAATCTTTTATAAAAAAAAAAAAAAAAAAAAAGCACCATGTGGAGGCTTAGCTAATTCCCAAAACATCCATGCAAAGAAGGTATTATGATTTCTGCCCAGTTTTTAAATACAGTAAATATGGTTCAATAAAGATGATGACTGGCTGAAGAAAACGAAAAAATATGTCTGATGTTAAGAAATGGGTTCTTAAGCAGAATTCCACACTGGTGAACTCAACCACTTTTCTTTGCATGTGACCTTGGGCAAGTCACATCACCCTTGAATCTCAGTGTCCTAATCTGAGAAATGGGGACAATACCTACTTCCCGTAGGGTTGTTTTGAAAATTTTGAAATGAAACATTTTCATTGTGGACTGATCATTGAAAACACGACGCTGATCGATCCAGTCCCAGTTCTTGCCCTCACAGGCCAGTGGAGATAGACAGACCCATGACAGACCAGAACACCATCAGGACTTTGGGGGCGGGGGCGGTTGAGGCCTACGGGAAATCAGACAGGCATCTCCTGAGGCGAAAGCACATGGGGAAGGCCTCCTGGAGGAGGGGTACCGTGAGCTGAAACCTTTAAGGATGAGCAACCGTGATCGGGTTAATGGACGAGTGTAAAAGGAACCGGGGTAGTGTTAAAGCTAAAGGAAGCAACATATGCAAAGATCGAGGGGTTAACTCCCAGTATTTTGCCTACAAGAGATGGCGAGGAGGAGAAGTGGATGCTGGGGATAAACGAGGGGGCCGGCTCGTGCGAGATAGCCTGAAGTCTGCACTCCACCGAGAACTCACCGTCCTTCTTGATCTTCTCATTGAGGTTGTTGATATAAATAGTGTGGTTGGGGCGAGCCTCGGGAACTGCCATGTAGCAAGGTGCCGCGGTAGGACTGAAAGAAGGAAAAAGGTAACTTCAGCCCTGGGTTTCTCAAATACTTTGTCCGAACGCGGACTTAATGGGTTGCCCGGGGATCTTCCTTCCAGAAGGAAGTCAGGTAAAGCGGGGAGGAAGGATAAGGAACCCACAGTTTGGAAAACAAAGCGAACGCAGGACACCACTTCTCCCGCGTGGTGAGGGAAATCTTAAGAGGTTTACTACGAGTCCCAGGATGCTCAGAGCGGCTTAACAGGCGGAGCGTATTGAGTAGTGACTCCCATTGGCCCAAGCGCTCACAGCGCGGCCAGGAAAAAGAACATGGATGCAAGTGCCCGTTAAGGAAGAGAGGTAATTTTGTGAAGCCCTGGCAACGCGCAGCGGGAAAATCGTTCCCCCACACAAGGCAGGAAAAGACTCCGGCGCCAAGCGCTCAGCCGGTCCAACGCCTTGGCCGCCTGCGCCCGCTATTACTCACCAACAGAGATACCGGTCCGGCAACGGAAAGGGCCCCCGCTACGTTCCCTAACGCTGAGCATGAAGCGTCCTCTCCTGGCTCCGCCTTTATTGTTCTGCAAGCCAATCCCTGCGCGGTAACTTGATAGATTGACCGATCAGAGTAAGTCTTGTCCGACCTTGCCAATCAAATCTCGGGACAGATTTTGCCAATCAGTCTTGACCTAGACTTTGCCAATCAAAAGAGCACTTGGGTTCCCGCCTCTGAACTCGGACCAATGAATACTGCGCTTTCACCTTACAGTCTCTTCCGGAGGCAGTCCTTTGGAAGCCCCACTTCTTCGCGGCACCTCGTTCTCAGTCAAGAGATGCGGGGGCGGGGCGTGGAGGGGACGCCCGCGAGCCCTTCTACACGAAATGGGAAAGGCTGTTTGCTGCGGCAGCCATTTTGCGGGAAGGGGAGGTCCGTTTTACTTTATGACTCGGTACTCTATCCCAGCGCTATCTTAGATCCCAGCAGCCTTCGTTCTCTGCGCTTTACTTATCCCACAGGCTTTTCCTGTTGCGGCCTGATTCCAGGACATTCTCCACAATTAGGCCATTCTTCCTGCCTGGTGTCCTTTTGACCTCTTGACCTCTGACTCTAAGGTCAGCTCAAAGGTTCCAGACTCGGGCTTGGGATGAACGGGTGTGGGGGTGTGTGTGTGATGAACGGAGGCGGGGGGCGGGGGGAGGCAGGGGGGGGTCGGGGGCCCCGGGGAAGGTGAGGGGGGAGCAGATCCCAAATTATTACCTGGTATTTAGTCTTGGACCTCTAAATCCCACCCTTAGTGCCTCACCCCAGGTGTTACCCCTCATATCCCAAAACTGACCCCAAGTTTCCAAATCTAGCCCCAGATAATAAACTAACTCCTACTACATTTCCCTCTTTCAGGCTTGCAACCCAATTGCACACCACAAATCTGGTTCCAGACTAAAGAACACCACCCTGTTAACCCTCAGAGACCAACTGATTTGAGTCAGCCCCTATGCTTGCTCCCGTGGTTCCAAACTTTAGCACCGGTTCTTTCACTCCCATTGCTCAGCGCTCCAATTCCAGAAATCTGCCCTAAAGTCTTCAAAATCTCCATCCCTGGGACCAACACATTTCGGAGAATCCTTCTCTTGCCCATCCTCCAACCAATGCCATAGACACCAAAATGATTTCTTCATGCTCTTCTCCCCTAGAGGCCCCAGTCCCTCCTCCAAGAAACCCTTCGTCCCAGGCCCCCATCATCCAGCCTCCTCTATCCACTCATCTCCCGAACTTAGCCTTTCTACCCTCTCCCTCACATCTGCAGGCCCTTATTCCTCCACCACCACCTCTGCCACCTCCACCCCCTGCCACAGGTGCTGCTCCCCCTCATGTCTTCGGACTGGAGAAGAGCCAGCTTCTGAAAGAAGCCTTGGAGAAGGCCGGCCCGAACCCTGGGAGCAGAGAAGACGTGAAAAGGCTCCTAAAGCTTCACAAGGACCGGTAGGGTTTCCTTTCCCCACTCCTCCCATCCAGGGGCTCACCGAACCACCTGTCCCCACATAGCTTCCTCCATGTCCTCTTGGGGTTTCCCGTTTCCACAAGGTCAAACAGCCTGACCACTTCAGCCATGAAGAAAGACCCTGCCCTCACAAGCACCTAGTCCAGTGAGAAAAACATATCCCTCCCTCAACCAGATGGTAACAGTGAAGAGTGGTTGGAGGGAGGCCAGAGGAAGTGCCCAACCCAGGCTGGGGATCAATGGGCACTGCCTGAAGAGGACCCCTGAGTGCTATTGATTTGAGCAAGTCATCAAAGCTATGGCATGAGAGTGAGCAGCTTGTGCAGAGACCCAGAGTGAAGTGAACATAAGTTCTTTAACGGGACAGGGGAAGTCGCAAGAAGGGGCTTTCACAGGTGGGCAGGGCATGGAGGGCCATGTGAAGGAAGGCAGCTGTCCTGTGGTCACCATGGAGCCATGGGAGGGCATTGCGCAGCTAGGCTGCCCACAGGGAGTGGAGGTAGTGAGACTGGAGTCTGGGGGCCAAGGAGGAAGCGGGGAACACCCAGGGACCTGAGCAGGAGAGGAGGGGCCTAAACCTGGATGGGCTGTGGGGAACCGATTTAATATTTTCCTGGCTGAGCGGAAGAGGGAGGAGTGACTAGTCCAGATTCAAAAGAAACTTCCAGCTTTCTAGGGAAGTTGATAATCTTCCCTAAATGCCCCAATGGTAGATGTCCAGCACTGTCTTTAAGTACTTATTTAATCCTCTCAGCAACTCCATGAGGTTGGTACTGTTATCCCATTTTCCAGATAAGGAAACTGAGGCTCATGGCAGTGAAGTCACTTAGCCACAGTGCTTAACAGAGGACCCCCAGGGTGAACTCTAGCTGTGGGGTTCTGTGCTTTTAACCGCCATGCTGTAATGTCATCTCCTTCCATCAGGAGAGTCCCCACACACACACACCAGCCTTGCCCTTTCACTGGCATTGGAGTAGAAGTTAAGCACAGCTCTCTGACCCTCCTGTGCCCTGGATGGGGGGGAAATTGATTGGGATCGCAGCAGCTCTCTGAGTGGCTGGAGGGTAGGGCTCTTTATCAAGATGATCACTAGGCCTGGAGCACAAGGTACCTGTTTGGGGTTTTTTTTTTTTAGTCTACTGCTGTGTTTAGGGATTTTTCACCTTATTTAACAACAGCCTGAGACACAGGTTTGAGAGAGGAAAATCAGAGTTTGGGTGTAGAGCCTCTCTTCTGGGGAATGTTCTCAAATCACAGGCTCCTAGTTGCAAAGCTTTTGACATCTGCTCTTTGCCCCTTCAGGAACTAGGAGAAGGAAGAGGGAACAGCAGGTGAAAGGGTCATTTCCACTGAGCAGATGAGAAGACTGAGGCTAGTCAGGGAGGCGCCCTGTCAGGGGTGAAGGAAGTCAGTGACTGAGTCAGGAGCCTTGCTCAGGCCTCAGGACTGCCAGGCCTGTATGCCTCCCCTTCACTACTCCCAGCCAGAAACCGGGGGGGGGGGGGGGGGGCTGGGGACTATAGGAGCAGGTTCTCGTGTGACCTGATTTTGGCTCTGATTCAGTTTCAGAAGTGACTTGCAATGGATCCTTTTCTGTGCAGACCTGCCCTCTCTCATCCAAGAAGGCCCTCAGTATGTGCCCTAATGTGGAACCCCAACCCCCTGGGAACCCCATATGTCTCAAGCCTTTGGCTTTGCTCTGCTTAGGATTGACCCAAGAGAGTGGGAGGAATGGGTTCATCTCATCCCAGTAGCCTGGGCAGGACAAGGGGAGCAGAAGGAGAGGGTCGGGGCCCTGGGTCCTGGGTGCAGGCACAGTGAACAGTTGGAATCAGTGAGCAAGTGAGAGGACGAATGAACCTGGTCCATCATCTCTAACTCCACTTTGGCAGCTGCTCATCCTGGAAGCCCAGGTGACATCTTTTCCCACCCTCCCCCCCGTCATTCTCAGTACTTGGCCAGCCTTTCTGCCGTGAAAGGGTATTATGCCTCCACACCCTGGGAGAAGGGAAGGGAACTCCCCCAGGGCAGCCAACCTATTCCCCACACTCAACTTCCAGGGCAGAGGGGACCCTGGACTCAGGGATTGAGGGGCTGGACTTATGTCTCCCAGGTGTGGGCTGGTGGCCCTGTGGATGGCAGGCACTCTCCTGGTGCCCCCCAGGGGAATCCCCCTGGAGAGACTCGTGCAGATGGCCATGGAGAGAGGCTACACAGCCCAGGGAGAGATGTTCTCTGGTGAGTTGGTTGCAGAAGGGTCGCAAGCCCAAGCCGGACTGGAGAGGCTGGGTCAGACAAGGTGCATGGGAGGACCTTGTTGCGTTCCTTAGGCCCTTTCCCCACCCAGTGTTCAGGGTAGACTCTGGAGCAAAGCTGCCTGGGTTCCCCGCCCGACTCTGTCACCTGCTGCTCTGTCATCCTGGACAAGCAGCTTACCCTCTCCGTGCTTCATTTTCTGCATTTTTACAAAGAGGCATCGATCCCCAGCGAGCCCTTGCTCTGTGCCTGCTCTGTCCCCACAGTGGCTGACATGGGCAGGCTGGCTGAGGAGGCACTGGGCTGCCAAGCGGAGCTGCTCTGTGGCGGCCTGGGCGGTCCCAACAGAGACCGTGTACTGCAGCACCTTGTCGCTGGACATCCCTTGCTCATCCCGTATCCCAGGGCAGGAAGGAAACAGGGTGGGCTCGGGAAGGGTGGGCCCCAGGGCCACACCACAGCTTTGGCCTTAACCCCATCACCAGCTATGATGAAGACTTCAACCACGAGCCGTGTCAGCGGAAGGGCCACAAGGCCCACTGGGCAGTGAGCGTAGGTGAGTCCCCCTCCTGTGTCCCTGTGCCCTCACCCGGGATCCTTCCAGCCCCCATCATCCCTCCTCACATTCTCACCCTTGCACTCATTGGTACCTCCCCAGTACTTGAGGCAGGAACAAGGATGGGCCCGACCCTGTCCACACAGGGTACTGTACTTAGCAGGCACCTGGCAGGCAGCAGGTGCCTCAGTGTGTGCCGGTTGGGGTTTCCACAAACAAGCTCAGAGTGCATATTTTTAGAGCAAACATTCTGGACTCCAGGCTCAGTCCTGCCACTTCAAGACTCTGACCCTGGGCTTCCATGTGCCTATCTGGAAATCGAGGTGGCAGTAGTACCCACCTCCATAGGGCTGCCAAATGGGCAGAGCATGGAAACCTCAGGAACAGTGGTGTCTGGTACGTTGCACATCTCAGTAAATGTTAGCTGTGACCACCACTGTCATTAGTTCACCTGCCTGGAAAAAAGATGGATCTGTGTGCATCAGGTGGCCCCCATCTAGGCTCTGCTCGATGACCTCCTTGCTCTGGCCTCAAGGGCTCCACTCTCACATCTCCTCCTAGACAGCTGGAGACGACTGGGTGACAATGTTTGCTCTGTTTCATGTCACCTCTCCACCGCCGAGTGCTGACAGTCCATAGGGGGCAGGACTTAAAGTGCCTGCAGCTCTGGAGCCAGACACCCTGGCTCCACATCCCAGCCCAGCTGTGTGCCTGCTGACCCCCTTGACTTCTCTGCAATGTGGGGACCAGGCAGCCCCTTCCCTGGAGGGCTGTGGGGGAAACAGACCCAGCACCTCTTCAGGGCTGGGCCGCCACTCACAGCCTCTCCCTCTCACAGGGGTCCTGCTTGGTGTGCAGGGTGTGCCAAGCCCCGGCTATGCTGAGGACCCAGAGCTGCCAGGCCTGTTTCACCCTGTGCCCAGCATGCCCCGCCAACCACCACCCCTGCCAGAGGAAGGCTCACAGGGAGCGATCTACCTTCTCTCCAAGCAGGGCAAGAGTTGGCATTACCAGCTGTGGGACTACAACCAAGTCCAGGATAGCAACCTGCAGCTGATAGACTTCTCGCCCTCTCGGGCCACTGATGGCCGGGTGTATGTGGTGCCTGCTGGTGGAGTACGGGCTGGCCTCTGTGGCCAGGCTCTGCTCCTCAGACCGTGAGACTCCAGCCACTAGCTTGCTGCAGCCCTGAAATGGGATCCAGACCCCAGGTTTTCCCCTGCGTGACTACCCAAGGACTTGGGCTGGATCTCCTGTGGACCTCCAGCCAGAGATCCTTCATTCAGGGTCCACCGCAGCCTATTCATTCTTCGGCCTGGGCATCATCCCAACTCCCCCATCCTCATCCTCTCTGTGTTGAGCACCTACTATGTGGGTTGGGATTAGAGCCAGAAGCCAGACAGACAAGCTCCCTCTCCCAGCGGGGAGAGAACAGCTCAGACACCATGTCCTGTCCACCCCACCTGGATGTTGCATCTGTCCGTTTCTCGCTGGTGGTCGCCCTCTTCTGAACCATTGTCATCTCTCTGGACATCTGCCTCACTGGGCCCCTTGCTGCCCCCCAGTATCTCTTCACATGGGGTCAGGGCTGAGGGAGCCAAAAAAAACAAAAAAGCAAACTTGGTCTTCTCAACCTTCCTTAGGAGCTTGTGGCAGCTCCTTGTTGCTCAGAGAATAGGGACTAAACTCCCAGCCCCAGCCCACCTCCTGCCACCAGCCACACTGGCCTTTCAGGACCCTAGTGCAGCCCTCTGCTGACGGTAAACCCTAAACGTTCCCAGTGTGGGAGAGGAAGAGACGTTTCCCTCAAGGTTTTTTTGCCTGGTCTAATAAGTACATGAAACAGATTAGCAAGAAAATAACCAAATTTAATACATAATGGGAACCCCACATACATGAGAGGTTCTAAGACGGAAAATGAGGTATGTATTGCCTTTCTGAGCTAAGGTTCATCTTGGGGCTTCAGAGGGAGAAAGGTCATTGCAGGACGATAGAGCAGATGTTCAGCAATTAGACGTTTACCCTGCTCTGTAGATAGGTCAGAAAAGGTTATCTCTGATAATCTCGTTATGGGCAAAGGCCCCTAATTCAGACTTCTAGGTAGGGGATGGTGGGGTGGGGGTTTCACTGAGGCTTCAGTCTTGTTTACCCTAGTTCACAACAGTCCACATACCACGGAGGTACATCTTGGGGTGACTTGTTCTGAATCCGTACAACAGCTTGACTCACCAGTTTCCCTCTGGGTTCTGTTTTGTTTTTTTTTAATGCATCTGAGTTAAATGTGCCAACCCCTTTACCTGTGTTAACTCATTAAATTTTCCAATCGTGTATATAAGGTATTAGATCCTCCCCGTTTTATAGACAGAGAGACGGGCTTGGAGTGCAGTCACCAGCCTAAGGTCAGATGACTTGGCAAGTGACAGGGTCAGGATTCAGACCAGGAAGTTAGTACCTACACAAATATATCTAAATAGATACATGTTTTTAATTCATTTAATGAATACCGTTGCCTGCCCTTTGAAAGGGGAGAGAACAGGTGTATTTTAGTCACTGCCATGTCTGCAGTGCCAAGGAACTTCAGAGACACTACAGCATATACATAGTGTGTTTTGGGGTTTTAGTGTTTATAAGCAGAAGTGGGGAGGCCTCCATCCTGGCCGCGGCCCCTTCCCAGCCCTGACAATGGTGGGCACACTGTCAGGGGCACTGTCTTCGTCGCTGCTCTTACCTGCCTTACGCAGCTCAGAGCCAGGCACAAGAAGGGCTGCTTAGTGAATTCTCCAAGCCTGCATCTCCATTCCAAACTGGTCACTGTCCTGCTATCCAAGCTCAAGATTATGAGTTTTGAGCCCACACACCCCTGACTGAAAAAGTTCCATGAGGTTGGCTTTGAATGTTCTGTTAACTGGGGAGTTGTCATGGGGGATCGGGTGGCAGTTAAGGGATGTTGCCCCCAGTTCCCCAGCACTGCCTCATCTAACATCTGTCTGGTATAAAGTTTAAAGGTCAATAGGTGAGGAGCGTGCCTCCTGAGCCCTGAAAGACCATGTCAGAACTTTACCTTAGAGGTGCTTGTCCTCCCCTAGCCCAGCCCTGTGGGACTGAAGCCAGTTACAGGTACAAGAGGGGCTGCTCACTTCAGGATGCTGAGGTCTTTGGCTTAGCCAGCAGCCCCACCCACCCTAAGCACCTGGCCTCAGCCAGGCACTTCTCACAGCAGAGGCCCCGGGGTGGGATGGGAGCCACCCAAGGACGGCAGCTCTAATTCCCAAGCTGCCTTCCCTGCCCTGAAAGCCCTTCTCGCCACCTCAGGTGGCTGAAATAAAGGGCCCCTAAAAGGGTAAGGGGGGACGGGGGAAGTCCAGAGGCTGAGGTGGCGCCCGAGGAGGAATGAGGTTGTGCTGGTCACAGTTCTGGCACCGGATGTGGCTGTGGTTTTGGTCTGCAGGGTGTCAGCAGAGTTCTCCCAGGAGTGGGGAGGATCCAAGGGGCTCTGGGAGGGCAGGAGAGCAGCGGCGGGCCAGTCCCGTGGCATCACACCCTCCGCAGAGTCTCTGTCAGCACTTGAAGAGCCCCAAAGTGATGGGGCCATAACGCTCCCAGGCAGACAAGCCAGCTCCAGCATTTGTTCACAAATGAGGTCTGGTCCTCCAGGCACCACAGATGGAGCTGACTGGTCCCTGGCCTTGAGCCTGCTTCTGGCAGGACGAGGCCTATGAGCACTGATTAGAGTCATTCACATAGTAATAGGCGCGTGTCAGGCCAGCACCCTATAGCATCTGAATCGTGTTCTTTCAGGGTATGTGGTTTAGTTGGGGCCTCCAGCAGCCCCTCGGGAATCTTCCTTGCTGGTTTGAAGACCCAGTCTGGTTTTGACTCTCAGTGGGACCCAACCGTGTCATGTCCCCTCTCTAGTCTTTACAACCCCAGTATCATGAAAGAGCTGGGCACTACGTGGTCTCCAAGGCCCTTCAGATCTGTCCTGGGCTTGGGTGGTGTACAACACCTCTCCTGTCCCTGAGGCCAGTGCCTCCATGGCCAACCTCAGGCCCCTGCATACCTTGGGGCTCTTCCGGCCAGCCGAGTACCATCCAATAAAAAACCTGGCAGCAGGCAAGTGGGTCAGCTCTGGGCCAGCCCCTGAAGAATGTGAATCATGTTGTCCAGGCCCCAGAGGTAGCCATCCTCACGGTTACCCTCAGTCCAGGGCAGTCGGTGGCTGAGTGTCTGGTGGTCAGGCAGAGCCACTGTCTTGCCGAAGTCAATCATCCAAACCTTGGCCAGGCCACTGTGGTCGTGCACAAAGAGAAGGGAGCTGCCCACTACCTGCAGGGAGATAGGCAGCAGTCAGGGGCAGAGCAAGCATCGGGGAAGGTCCCATCCCCAGGGGGAATCCGAGCACGGTGGTTGACAGCATGAACTCGCACCAAGATGCCTAGCCTCAAATCCTGGCTCTGCTACTTACTGGCTGTTATGCCTTGGGCAGGTGACTTAACCTCTCTGTGCCTCTGCCTCCTGATATACAAAGTGGGAGTAATGGAGTAATAGTACCATTTACCTCAAAGGTTGCTGTGCATATTATGTGTATGAATTAACCCATACAGAGCACTTAAAATAGTTGCCAGCAGAGCAAATGCACAGCAGATGTTAACTGGTATCCCTTTTCGAGTTGAGGTATAAACTCAAATGCCTGCAGGATCCTGAATGGGTCAGGAGAGCCCACTGGGGACTAAGGAAGTGGATCACACTTTCCCCAGGGGAAGAGGCAGCAACTGCGCAGCCCTGGCGAATTGCTGCCGGGAACTGCAGGCAAATGGCTTCCTTTCCCCAGGCCCCGTTTCCTCATCTGCAGAATGGGGGTGATGACCACAGCCCTGCCCCCTGGGGTTGTTGGCGGCATTCCATGACCCACACACTTAGCAAGTGCCGGTAGGGCTTGCATCCGGCCCTCAGAGATGCTGGTTTTGTTCTTCGAGTTAGAAATAGTACTTTCCTGGCCTTCACCTAACTCCCTATTTGCACAACCCTCCCTTTTCCTAACCTGGTTTCCAACCCCACTGCCCCCAGGGAACCCAAATGACAGGACCAGCGAGCAGCTGCCTGTGAGTAAAGGCAGATGTTGCCTCGCTCTGGATGCGTGTTGGGATGTGGCCAGTGGCCCAGTGACCAGGGACACTGGAAACCCTGATATGGGCGTAAAGTCACATTTCAAAGGTTGACAACTCATCTTTTAAAATGTAAGTCACCAAGCAGGTGAAACCAAACACAAGGACAGATGAGATGGGGTCCCCCAGGCCTCTTTGCAACTTGTGTGTAAAGCTCAAAGGCAGTGACAAGGACAAAGAAGGTGACATCTGATAAGAAACATGACAGTAACAGCTGGCACACAGGGTTTACTGTGGGCACACTTTCCCTATATTAATCCACTTAACCCTCGTGTTGCCCAGGAGGCAGGTGCCCTGTTACCCCAACCTGCAGGTCAGCAGACGGGCCTGCAGAGCTGGGGCCCAAACCCAGGCCCGCTGGACTCCCAGGTCAGGGCTCTCCGAGAAGTCAGTGCTACCAGGAGAAGGAGGTGAGAGGGCTTTGGTGGGCGTGGGGGGCAGCGCTTGTACAGAGGAGGGGAAGAAAGGGTGCCAGGGGTGCTGTCACCGCTTCCAGGCTCTCTGAGACAGCCCCAGAGAGATGAATGTTCCCAAAGAAATGGTGCAGACAGGAGGGAGAGCGGGAGGGAGAGAACCACTGAACAAGGAATGCAGGTAATGATTGTGAATAGTTATGATTATAAAGTAATTGTAAGAGCTAGGGGTTAGCACTGACCACGTTGCTCACTTGGTTAGAGGGTTGTCCTGATAACACCAAGATTGCAGGTCCGACCCCCAGTCAGGGCACGTACAAGAATCAGCCAATGAGTGCATGAGTGCGTAAATAAGGGGAGCAACAAAATCAATGTTTCTCACACTCCCTCCCTCTTGAAAAACAAAAAACAGAAACAAAAAAAGAGCTAGACGTTAAATGCACTTCCCTGCTCCAAGTGGCACTGAAAAGTGGCTCAGCAGCCTGTGAGGAAGGTATTATTGTTCCTCCTCAACTTGGGAGGCAACCAAAGCCTGAGACATCACACAGCTGAGAAGTCACATTGCAGAGCCAACCTCATCCCAGGCTGCTTGGCTCAAGTCCATGCTTCTAATTGTCCCACGTCCCTGAAATCCCCTGTGCTGCCTATTGTATAAAAGCAGACCCCCAAACATGGGGCCTCAATTTAATTGTTTTAGCCTTAATTCTGACAGCAATTTCTCCTCAGTGCAAACTGGACCCCAACCCACTCCCACCTCACACACATACAGGGCCCCCTGCTCCCATGGCAGTGGGGCTCGCACCTCATGGGTCTTGAAGAAGGGGGAGTTCTCCAGAGCTTCACGAAGTTCTTCTAGGCGTGCCACATACTTTCCCTGTTTGGGAGGGAAAGTTTCTTGGTTGGCATAGGAACTTTGTGGGTCCTTACCCACCTTAAGATCTGACCTTGTCCTATACCGGCCATGACGGAATAAGGGGAGCCATGGGGAAAATGGAAGGGGAGGTTGGATATATCAGTTTGGTGAAGACAAGGGTAAGGTTAGTAAATTACATGAATACCCATAATTCCTAGCAGCTCCTCACATCAAGAGGTGGAGTCTGCCTGTGGCCGGGTAGCTCAGTTGGTTAGCGCGTCATCTCACATGCCAAGGTTGTGGGTTTGATCCCCAGTCAGGGCACATAAAGGAATCAACCAATGAGTGCATAAAAAAGTGGAACAACAAATCGATGTTTCTCTCTCTCTGTCTCTCAAAGCAATAAAAAAATAAAAAAGAGGTGGAGTCTGTTTCCCTTTCATCTAGGCTTGGTCATGACTTGCTCTGGCTAACAGAACATGGCAGAAATGATGGTGGCTTAGCCATCAAGAGGCCTTGCATTTTCGCTTGTTCTCCTGGCCACCTGCTTCCACCATGAGAACAAGCCCAGGCAAGCCTGCTGGATCATGAGAGACCAGTGGCCAAGTCATGACCTGAGACCACCAGACATGTGAGCAGGGCCATCCTAAACTAGCCAGCCCTGGCCAAGCCCTCTGTGACCACGGATGGTGAGCAACACCAGTCAGTATCAGCCAACCTAGGCCCTAAGCAAAAGGCCATCAATGGGGGCAACGATGACGGTGGTGGCCCTAAACTGCTCAATTTGGGACACGGGTGTCCCACTCACCAGGATTCCACAGTTCCCATCCACAAAGTCCTCCAACACCTTTGTCACCTGCTCCAGCTCCTGTGTCTTCTTGAAGTTGGTGTTGCAGGTCCCGTCGGCTTTCTGAAGGGTAAGGGTTGAAGGTACAGTGTCATAACTCCTTCTCAAACCCAATACCAACCAGCCTCAGGCACCTCCTAAGGCTACCTACCTGCCCCCATACTCACTTGCTGTTCAGCAGAAGCCAGCCCACCTGCCCAGCTCAGATCAGCCCAGCCCCAAGTCACACTCTGGGCAGCTATTCCTTCTAAATCTAACTTTGAACCCCCTGCTTGAGCCAGCCTAGCCAAGTAGGCTCTGGAAGGGGATAAATCTGGCTTTGAATAGTGACTCTGCTATACTTCCTAGCTGGGTGGCTTTAAGCAAGTCACTTCACCCGTCTCAACCTCAGTTTCCTTATCTGGAAAATGGGAATTGTGTTGGTATCTACTTGCTAAAGCTGGTGTGAGGATTAGAGGAGACTGGGTATAGAGAATGCATAGCACAGTGCTTGGCACATAGTAAGCAGGCACTCAATAAATGAGACTAATGTTATTTTTTATGTCTAAGAGGGGCACAGAGAGCCACCTGAGTCATACGACTGTGCTGTGCCAGATGGGCACTGCTAACATGGAGGTAACAGGACAGGCACAGTCAGATGAGGGGGCAGATACTGAATAAGAGCATCCATCACAAAGGGAGATAAGAATAATGAAGGAGTATAGGAAGTTATGAGGAGGTAAAGAGAGGGCTCTAATCTAGTAGGAAGGGCTTCCTGGAGGAAGTGAGATTTAAAAGGAGACAGGAAAATGACTAGGAGCCAACCAGGGGAACAGGACCCTTTCACAGAAATGAAGTGCTTCACTGTGGCCTGCAGGTAGGCTGGGGAGAAGAAAGGGGTGAAAGATGAGGCTAGACCCTAGAGGGCCCTCTAGGCCAGGGAACATCTCTTCAGAGCCCTAGGGAGCCATGGAAGGATTTTGAATAGGAGAATGACATAGCTGGATATACAACTTATATCTGGCAAGGCTGTGGGGAAACAGGAGCCCTCATACATCACTGGTGGGACGCACAACGGTACAACACCTATGGAAGGGGTTTGGCAATCTCGAGCAATGTTCCCAATGCATTTCATATTTGATCCAGTAGTCTTGCTTCTGGGAATCTAGTCTACAGCTAAACCTCCACACTTGCAAAACGTGCCATTGAGGTGCGACTTACAATGAAAAAAAAATGGAAACAATCCAGGTGGCCATCAACAGGGCACTGTGGCATATCCACAAAGAGCTATTACCATTAGAAAGAAGAAAAGAGAGAGACAAGGGAAGGAAGGGAGGGAGGGAAGGAGGGAGGGAGGAAGGAAGGAAGGAAGGGAAAGAAAGAAAAGACGGTAGAGAAGGAAGGAAGGGAGGGAGGGAGGGAGGGTGGAAAGGAAGAAAAAGAAGAGACTCCGTGGAATGACATGGAAAACTCTCTAGGACTATGCTGTCTTTTGTCTAAGAAAGGGAGGAAATTTAGGGATATTCAATTGCATTTTTTTTATGTGCAGGAAGAAATGTAAGAAACTGATAAAATGGTGCCCTACAAGTAGGTGGGGAGCGAAGGGACAGAATGGGAACGACACCAGCAGGTTGGGGGAGAGATTGCTCCTATACCCCCTTGTATAATATTATTTTGACTTCTGAACAATGTGAATACTTATTCAAACAATTAGATTTAATTTAAAAAAAGAAAGAATGAGCGCTGGCTGGTGTCCAAAAGATCACTGGTTTGATACCCAGTCGGGGCACATACTTAAGTTGTGGGTGCATTCCCTAGTCGGGGCATATTCAAGAGGCAACCGACTAATGTTTCTCTCTCATATCCATGTATCTCTCCCTCTCTTTCTCCCTCCCTTCCCCTCTCTCTAGAATCAATAAAAGAAAAAAAAATTTTTTTAAAGAAGGAAGGAAGGACAGGAGGGAAGGGGAGGGAGGGAGCGAGGGAGGGAGGAGAGAGAAAATCTTTCTTCATAAGGGGGAAAAAGGATCGCGCTCCAGCTGCCGCATTGGACGATGGATCTGAGGAGGCTGTGTAGAAGATGGGGCCAGACTAGGACAGGGCCATGTGGAGGGAAGAAGTTGGAATCAAGAGATGCTCAGAGATAAACAAAACTTGGTCACTGATGGATGTGGGGATGAGGGAAGCAGGACCTCTCCTGGACCCATCTTGCCATCCTCTGCAGTCTCCTGCTCTCTCTCCAGATCTTGCGTTTTTCCAGTTTTCCCTGACACCCATGTTCCCCCAGAAGCCCTGCCTAGATCTCGTTCCCAGCCCTCTAGCAACAGCCTAGCAGCTCCCGGACCTCACCTTGATGCCCTCAATCCGGAAGCCCAGGGTGGAGGTCGAGCTCACAGTCTCCCTCCACTGCATGTAGCGGGGCTTGGTGACAGCACCCTGGGCATGCTCCTCAGGGGTGGGGGCCCCAGGGTCCACAGCCACCATCTTCTCATACATATCCTTCCGGGGCCGAGGCCGTTCTCGAGCCTTCACCAGCTCCTCCTCCAGGTAGGTCCTTGGACACAGAGGATGTGACAAAGTAGCATTTCTTAAACACAAAGCTACAAACCGCAATGAAAACAATTGACAAACTGGACTAAATCAAAATTACTATGTTATCAAAAGACAGTATTAAGAGAGTGAAATGGGAGGTTGGAGATGTGTGTAGGTGTATGTATATCTCCAACAAAGGACTTGTATCCAGAACGTATAAAGAATTAGAAATCCAAAAAAAAAAAAAAAAAAAAAAAAAAAGACAAGGGTATAGTGGGGCTAAATGGTGATGGATGGAGACTTGACTTGGAGTGGTGAACACAAAATACAGTGTGCAAATATGTTGTGAAATTGTGCGCCTGAAACCTGTATAATTTTGTTAACCAGTGTCACCCCAATATATTGAATAAAAAGGAAAAAAAAAGAAGAAAGAGCAGGGAGAAGGTATAGGAGACTAAATGATAATGGGAAAAAAAATACAATAAATAAAAAAAGATAGGAAGAAAAAAGCCCAACAGATAAATGGGCAAAATATTTGAACAGGCAGTTTTCAAATGGCCAATCAATGCTCAACTTCTTTGGTCATCAGAAAAACAGAAATAAAACCATAATGAAACCCTCACCAGAATGGCTAAAAATTAAAAAAACAGATAACACCAAGTGGTGATGAGAAGACAGAACTGGAATTCACACTGCTCGTGGGAATGTATGTACAGCCACTTTAAAGGCTGAGTTGGCACTATCTTCAAAAATGCCAAACCCTGCCCTGGCTGGTCTGGCTCAGTGGATTAAGCGCTGGCCCGTGAACGAAAGGGTCGCCAGATTGATTCCCAGTCAGGGCACATGCCTGGGCTGTGGGCCAGGTCCCCAGAAGGGGGCGCCTGAGAGGCAACCACACACTGACGTTTCTCTCCCTCTTTTTTCCCCTCCCTTCCCCTCTCTCAAAAAATAAATAAAATCTTTAAAAAAAAAATTACCAACCCTGACCCTCCACCTCTGCCTCATGAGTGCCCCTGGCCCCACCTGCTGCCCATCTTGCAGTCCATGATGGAAGGGCCCTCAAAGTCCGCCAGGAGATCTTCCATCTGGTTGAAGGCCTGACCATCCTTCTGCACTATGCCATAATAGGTTGGCACAAAAGGCCGTAGGGGGTCATTCATCAGCTGCTCCAAGCTGCGCTGCTCACACTGACAGAAACGTTTTAGAATCCGACCATCCTCTCCAGCCTGGAAGTTCCCTATGAGCAGCACAGTCAATGAGAGGGTCAGAAACTATATGAGCAAGAGAATCCCCCTGTTCTATACGCATCAGATCCTGGCCGCTGTCATTTTACCTGACTCTTCCGCAATACTTTCTCTTGCTCCCTGCAAGTCTCAAAATCTTGGCCATGGGTTACAAGGGAAGGGCCTATTTCTGCTCTTTGTTTAAACAAAGTCCTCTTCACAGCAGATTGTGTCCTCATTTGTTTTGTAATTTTGGACTGTGAGCTCACAATCAGCTGTGGGAATTTTTGTGAGGTCTGAGTGGAAAGCCTGACTTTCTAGAGCAGATTTGCATTTTCTTCTGCCTGGAGTCCCAGAGTGCTAACAACTGAAGCCTAGTTAAGTTAATTTACAAATCCAGCATTTCCTGGACCATGCAGATAGTGTAGATTTAGAATTACAATTCTTATTGAGATAGATTGTATTTTCAGATTATACTTTCCAAAGATGGTATAATAATAGCTCCTGTCCCACATACTCTTCTAGAACTTTGCCATTCTCCACCAAGAAGTGGAACCTGATTCTTCTTCCCTTGCATAGGGGAGGGCTTATGGCAGACACAGCATTGTATAACTTCATAGTCTAGGTCATAAAAAGAGATGCAGCTTCTACTGTGTTGGCAGAGACGTTTTGCAGTCCTGAGCTGCTATTTAAGAAATCTTGCTACTCATGGATACCATAATGCAAGGAAGCCCAAGCAGCTACATGGAGAAGCCACACATAAGCTTTCCAGCCAGCAGTCCCAACTGAGACACAGTCAAGTCAGCATGAATTGCCAGGCATGTGATTGAATAACCCTCCAAAAGTTTCCAGCTTGCAGCCTTCAAGTTGTCCTAGCCTAATTCTCAGATATAATGGAGCAGCAACAAGCCACCCCTGCCATGCTCTGTCTGAATTCCCAATCTCAAAACCTGTGAATGTAATAAAATGGTAGTTTTATTTCACTAAGATTTGTTTTTTACATTCCACTGAGTTTTGAGTAGTTTGTTTGTTTGTTTGTTTGTTTGTTTGTTTTTCAACACAGCAATAGTAACTAGGACACATATTGATGGCAGGCCTGTGTTTGGTCTGCCCTGCCTTTTCTCTGATTCCAATCTAAGGATGGACAAGGCAGGTGAGGTCCTTTCCTGTCTCTCTTTGTAGGTGAGCATGGTTTGTCTAGTCCAGCCCACTGCCTGTTTTTGTAAATAAAGTCTTATTGGGACACAGACACACTCACTTGTGTATTATCTATGGCTGCTTTCATACTGCCACTGAAGAGCTGAGTAGTTCACTTACTATCTAGCCCTTTACAAAAGATGCTACATGTTAGGCATATGTTATGCACTGTGCCACTACGTGCTACAGATACTGTGCTAGGCCCTGGGGAGAAACCATTACAGCTCTTGGTTATTGGGGGCCTACTAAGCTCTGGACACAGGGTGAGGACAGGGAACAACAATTTCCATATATGAGCAGCCTATGTCTCAGTCCTAACATATATTTTGATAATAACCCTTCAGTTAATTCTGCAAGGGAAGGGCAATTATCTCCATGTTACGGATGAGGAGACTGAGGCCCAGTGAGGGAAAGTAACTTACACAGGTCACCCACAAATAAAGAACAGAACTAGGGTGTAAGCCCAGGCCAATTGTCCCCAGGGTGGAGGACACACGCGTGCGTGCGCGCGCACGCACACACACACACACACACACACACCCCTGACACTGGGATAACAGGGAAGAGCCCTCAACCCTGATGCATAAATGGCCAGGCCAGGACTAAGTTCTGGCAATAAAAACACTGTAAGATGAAACCGTCACAAAGCCCATTTTACAGATGGAAAAACTGAACTACAGCAAGCAGCCATGCCGCCTTCTGCTCCAGCCCAAGCATCTCTGCCCAGCCGTCTGCCCCCTGCCCTCCACCGCCCCCTGCTCTCACCAGCATGTCCGGATAGCTGGACCCAAGGGTAGTGTTTTCGGAATGAGACCATGAAGGGCGAATACTTCAGAACCGTCTTCAGTTTCTTCCAAGGTTTGTTCTGTGTGGGGCAGAGCAGGGTAGGGTCAGGACTGAGTCCAGGGAGGGAAGAGGATGCAGGTATTGCCATGAGAGGGAATGAAGGTGGACCTGGGGCCTTTCCAAGGCCAGGGGGCTTCCTGGAGTCACTGCTCTTAAGCTCGTTGAGATGAGCCAAGCCAATCACAAGATCTCCCAAAGGCCTCCAAAAGGTGGGGAGGAGTCCATTTCTCCCTGTCATCACTGTCTTTCTATCTGTGTCTCTCGGTCCTTCTCCAACAGGTAAAGTTAGGCTAGGTGTTGTTGCAGTAACAAGCAACCCCCAAACCTCCCCCACACACACATATACACACCCAAAACAAGGAAGCTTCATCTCCATCCCAAAACCAAGTCAGACCTTCCCAGGGAAATGACCGAGGCAGGAGTTGATGGATGGAGGCCAAACCACAGAGAGAGAAGAAACTAAGACAGATCACAAAGGGATGACAGAGACCGAGACACAAGGACAAAGCGCCTGTGACAGTCATGAGAGCTGCTTACCAACCCTCCCTCTCACAGGCACGTCCCTGTCCTCTTGAACTTAAGAGTTACTGACTTGCTGTGGCCAATGACATGTGAGCAGAAGTGTCACTTTTGGGTGGAAGCCTTAGAGTCAGCGCATGACTCTCCACGTTCTTTTCCCTATTGCAGAAAGGGTGGAAAAAGAAATGGAGGCCTCCTCAGTCCCCTCAGCCCACCACTGACCATGGGCAATGTGAGGTGTGAACAAGTGTCATCCTTTGTTGTTCCAAATCACTAAGTTCTGGGGTTGTTTGTTATTACTGCAAATCCCAACTTATTCTGAATAACAGAGACAGACACAGAGTTACTAGAAGAGCAATACAGAAAGACAGAAAGGGAGACACAGATACAAAGTAATAGCAGAAAAAGAAAAAGAGAAACAGAGAACAACAGAGAGAAAGGGAGAGCAACAGAAAACCAGGGAAGCAAAGAGAAAAACAAGAATTTAGTTGCGTACTCTTGACTCAACCAAGAGCTTCTTGAGCCTGGGTGCCTGATTCCGGAGCATGCACACACATGTGCGTGTGCACACACACACAGAGGAATATATTCTTTGCTCCAAGCATACAGCAGGCCCTTAGCAAGTATTGGGAGAATCGGTCATCTCCAGGGAAGGAAGCTGTGTGGCCCATCCTTCCTACCTCCAACCATCTCAGGGCCAAGGCCACGCACTCTCCCACCCCCTCAGAGCCCAGCTACCAGCAGACATCTAAAGTGAGATGGGAAGATCAAGCAGAGCCAGAGTGTTGAATTGCAGGATTCAGGAAGAGCTTATTCGCTACCCCCTCCAGCTGCCAGGATTGGAGAGGAGGTGATTAATAAAGGTTCCTGTTTACTAAGCACCTGGAACATTCCAGGCATAATGACAAAGACTGAGTGTCATAACCTACTTAATCCTAAACACACAATCCCAGGAGAATTGTTGACTGTACAGAGGAAGAAACAGCAGCTCAGGGGGTAAAGTCACTTGCCTAAATCATACAGTCCCGCCTTCGGTCTGACCGCCCCCTGACCTGGACTTGCCACCACATCCCTGCTAGACAACAAGCTCTGAGGGCAGGGACTGGGGTTACCATGATTATGACTGTGTCCCAGGCCATGCCTGACACAAAAATGTGCTCCAAAAATGCTGCTTGGATTGAAGAAGGTTGGCTGGAACCTTTTTTTATTGTAAGCAGATTCAGTACCTTCTCTCTTTTCTTAGATCTGATGGCCAATCTGGGCTTTCTCAGAGGGTCTCATGAGGCCCCCGAAGAAGGCCTTTCTGATGTGCCAGGCCGGGGCCAGTCACCTCCTCCCACACCTCCCCAGTCTCCTTCCATCTCAGCCCCGACCACTCTTGAGCTGTCACAGCCTGATGACAAGTCTGTCTCTTCCACGGCCCCAGGAACTCTATGAGGGTAGTATCTCAATCACTGCTCTCTCCCTAGCAAAGCCAACATAGAGCTGGACACATAATAGGGGCTCAGGGACTGTTTGTTGTCTGATTAGAAGGATGAAATGGACATGAGAAGGAAGGAAAGGAGGGAGGAAAGGAAGAAAGTAGCTGGACCTTTAAGGTCAGATGGGATTTCAAAATGAAGAGAGAAGGAAGCTAGGCTATTCTGCGCAGCGGACAACTTGAGCAATGAGTGGAGGCAGGATGGCGGCAGGGTGTTGGGGGAACAGTGTGTACTTCAGCTTTGTTACAATAGTGGGGTGGGGGGAGAAGGGAAGCTAGGGGTAAGCAGCCTGGAGACAGGAAGCTCTGAACACAGGACTGAACTCCTGATCGCTATCAGGAAGGCCCTCGGGAGTCATCAGAGGAGCTGGAACAGGCAAAGTTCAAAAGTTATCAGAGGTGGGCCATGAAGATTCTGGAGGGATGAGAGAAAACTGGAGACAGGGAGACCTTGGGGGAAAGTAAGTTAGGGACAGATCCACACACCGCAGAGGTTAATGGATTTTAAACTCAGCCAGAACTGAATTAGAATCCTCGGTTCTGGCTCCAACCAGACTTGGCCAACCCCAAGCAAGTGACTTCACCTCTCTAGCCTGTTTTCTCATCTGTAAAATGGAAATAATAACAATCTCAATCTCATAGTGCCACCATAGGAATTGAAAGAGTTAACACATATAAAGCACTTAGAAAAGTACCTAGTATTCGGCAAGGGTCTGAAGTCTCAGCTCTGCGTCTTCCGAGGTATATGACTTTGGAGAGCTGCCTTAACCTCTCTAAGCCTCAGTTTCCTCATCTATAAAATGAGATGCTAACAGCATCTAACTCCTAGAGCTGCTGTGAGATCTGAGTTAATATGAGCAAGGAGATTAACACAGGGCTGAGCATGAGTGGATTTTTTTCACCCACTTCCAGTTTAGCTGTTCTGAGATGCCAAGGAGTGAGAGAGCAGGCAAAGGCAATGGCAATGGCAAACAGCCCACGGGTCAACTCCCTTGCTCTGGCATATGCAGGCCGAGGCAGGTCTGCCTCTTACACCTATGGCCACATGTGTGAGCACATCCCTAAGGGAGGCATGTGGGGTGAGGAGGGCTCAGGGTGGACTCCAGTCAGAGGCCCCAGAACAATGGAAAGACCGAGAAGGCAGACCCACTGGAGGCTCCCACACCTGAATCTTCGCTGACTCTCTCCTGAACCTGCCCTGCCAGCCCTCCTGATTCACCAGGGTAGAACCGCACCCAAGGTGGGGGTGAGGGTGGAGGATGTAAACAAGAGTCTGCCTGGGCCCCCTGAGAAGCTGGGCAACAATAGGGTGACTGGAGGGTCCCTGGCTAGGCTGGGGGGGATCCCTTAGAATTTTGGGTTTACACAGCCCTTTGTGAATCTGATCAAAGCTGGGGGCTCACTCCCTACAAAAGTGAATGGGCTAAGGGTGGTGAAGGTGCAGGGTACCTTAAGACAGCCACTGGCCCCAGACTAAGAAATTTGGGGTAGACAGTATACCTTTTCTAGCCACCTATACTAGTGCTCTTCAGATTTTGGGGTCACACATCATGGTCCAGAGGAGCCAAGTAAGTCATAGACCCTTCCTGAAAAAATGTGTGTATACACACACAGACTCACACCATCGTAGGATTCCTGGACGGTATGAAGTTGGCCAGTGGCCATCCACTTGAGACTCCAGAACTGGAGGCAGTGGGTGAGGGGGTGAAAGGATTAGGAGGAGGGTGCCTGGAGTAGGTTAGTAACCCAGCTGTCAAGAGGGAGGAAGTAAGTGGATGGAAGAGGTGTCTGGAGATGAAATTGCTGGTAGGTGCTAAAAACTCCTCAAAGTAAAGGCAGGGGAACAAGGGGTCTGGGAGGATGTGGCTTCAGGTCCCACTCACCCCAGACCTGTCCTCGGGGTCGCTGGCACCTCCACCCCCGGCCACCACGTCATCCTCAGACTCGTCGAAAGAAGAGGCAGAGGAGAAGCCGCCACTGCCCACCTCAACCTGGGAGAGGGGTCCCATTCTCTGAGCCTCAGGCTCAGGAGTTTCAGGAGTGATGATGAGGCGGGGCACAGGGATCAGGGAGCTATACTCCAGGTGAGAGCACAGGTGAGTCACCAACTCCCCAGGTTCTGGTTCTTCTAATGGGCCATCTTGGTTGGGCTCCCCCAAAAGGCCGTCTGTCCCAGGCTCTGTCTGGGGTCCATGAGTATCTTGTGTTTGTGTACCATCAGTGCCAGGATGTGTCCAGGAGCCATCAGTAGTTTGTTGTGTTGGGAAACCATCAGTGCCAACCTGTTTCCAGGCTGTTTCAGTATCCTGTTGTATCTGGGAGTCATCTGTGTAAGACTCTGTCCAGGGGTCTTCAGGATACTGCTGTCTTCTGGAGCCATCAATACTTGGCTCTGTTGAGAGATAGGCCCCCTCTGGCTGCGTCCGAAGGCTGGACCTCTTCTGGTGGGTCCAGAGGTTATCGGCCCGGGGCTTGGACCTCTCTGGCTGGGTCTGTGACCCATGTATTTCTAACTCTGTCCATGGCCCATCAACGCCTGGCTGTGTCCAGGGTCTGGCCCTCTCTGACTGAGACTGAAGATCGGACCTGCGTGGATCTGTACAAAATCCGTCTGTCCCAGTCTCCGTCCAGGGTCCGGCTGTCTCCAGCTCTGACCAGTGGCTGCTCCTTTCTGGATGTGTCCAGAGGCTGGACCTGTCTGGCTCCGTCTTTTGGCTGGGCCGCTCCGTCTCCGCTCCGAGGCCAGCTGCTTCAGGCTCAGCCTGTCTGTCTGTCCCCGGTTCAGGCCCGAGGCCGGCCCTCTCGCGTTCGGAGTGGAGGCAGGACCCCTTGGTCCTGGCCTGGGGCCCGCCCCCCTCTGGTCGCCCCGCCGGGCCTCCGGCACCGGGCCCAGGTCTCTGCGGCCCCGGCTGCCGCTGCCGCCGCCGCCCCCCTCGCGGCGCCTCCAGCCCCATGCGGGCCGCCCCCAGCAGCTTCCCGGCCTCAGCCTCGTTCAGACTCCCCCGGCACGGGCAGCGCCTCATGCCCGCTCCCTTGGTTCGGGCTTCGGCCCAAACCGGCCCCTTCTGGCCCTTTAAATCCCACGAGGGGTGTGGCTGGGGAGCCCCGACTGGCAGGTTCCGGTCCGCGTTTCTCCAGCCCGCCAGGCCACGCAGTGGTTAACCGATACCCGCCTCCGGGGGGAGGAGGAAGAGCCCCGAGGCCCCCGCCCACAGGACGTGGCGTAAAGGGGGCGGGGCGGGGCTTCCCTGTTCCCGCCCCTCTCCCTGGGTCCGCGTGGATTCCCAGCGGTGGTCCGCCGGGTTCGGTGTGGGAACCCTGAGGTTCTGGGTGCGGGCCAGTGAGGTCCCTCCCTAGATCTCCGCGATTAATTTAACCTCCCTACACTCTCGAGTGGCCAATTTAGCCTCCTTACAACTTGGTGATCGGTCCAACAGCGCGCCCTTTCTCCACGCACGGCGGGGACGATGTTCCAAAGACGGGAATCCCACGGACGCAAGTTTGAATCCGCCTCTCCCACTTCCTAGCTGTGTTACCTTGAGGGAGTGACTTACGCTCCCTACCCGGGCTCAGTTTTGTCATCTGTAAAATGAGGATACATAATATTGTTTGATTGTTTTGAAAAATGTGAGTTCAATGCCACGAGAGCCAAGCACTTTACCAACAAGGAAGTTGAGACCCAGAGCAGTGAAGAATTTGTGTAAACTCAGAAGATTAGATGAGGGGCAAAGCCAGGGCCTTATCTCTGAAGTTAGGGTACGTAGCCAAATCCTGGCTCCAACAGGAATGTTTCCTCTGAGTCTCAGTTTCCTTGTCTGTGAAAAGGGAGAGCAATGATAATTTCCTCATGGGATTGTTATGGGAATTTTTAACTACAGCGTATACATTTGTGCGCTTGCTTGGCGCCCTGCAATGTACTTAGCTCTTTGTACCCCATACTTTGTGAGGTAGGGATCGGCATCATCCATGGTCAAGAAAACGGAGGCATAGTAAGGCAAAGTCCAAGATCACATATCTAAATTGTGTAGATTTGAACCCAGGCCAACCTAAGCCAAAGTCTGAACTTTTGGACCTTATTGTGTGATATAACTTGCTTTTGAGACTGAGATATTGCAGGAGGAGCTAAAAGTAAGAGTGTTTTCTCCAAATCAGATCGTGATTCTTCCCTGCTCCGAACGCTCGCGTTTCCCATCCCACTCACCACAGTTCTCATCATGATTCACTATGCTCTTAATGATCTGGCTCTGGTTACTTCCCAGATCTCATCTCCTCTGTCTTTTCCCTTCACTCATTCGACCCATTGGCCTCTGCTATTTCTCTGAGACATCTTCTACCTGGAACACCCTTCCCTCAGATATTCCAACAGTTCCCTCCCTCACCTCCTTCAGGTCTTTGAATGTCACCTCCTCAGCGAGGCCTTCTCTGACTACCCTATTCAATCTCACAATCTCCCTTCCACTCCCTGACTCCCTTTTCAGGTTTATTTTTCTCTTTAACACATGTCACCTTATTAAATACACAGGCATACAACAGAGATGTGGGTTTGATTCCAGACCACTACAATGAAGTGAATATTGTGATAAAGCAAGTCAAGGAATTTTTTGGTTTCTCAATGCATATAAAATTATGTTTATATTATGCTGTAGTCTATTTTAAGTATGTGATAGCATTTTGTCTTAAAAAAACAATGTGCATAGCCTAATTAAAAAATACTTTATTGATTAAAAATGCTAACCATCATCTGAGCCTATTGGGAAAACAGTGTCCACAGACATGCTTGAGGAAGGGTTGCCACAGCCTTCAATTTGTGAAAAATGTAATTATCTTCAAAGCACAATAGAACGAGGTATGCCTGTATTTACTTGTTCACGGTGCCCCTCACCAGCAGCCAGGAACAAAAGGGCAAAGATTTTTGCTTTTGTTCCTTGCTATGTCCCCAGTGCCTAGAAAAGCACGTGGTAAATGCTTAGTAGAAATTTGAAAAGAATGATTTTTCCATAAGAAATTTCTTTTTGTGTATAGCGCTCTGATTCTGTGCCAGGCCCTGTGCTCTTTACAGACACTATTGAACTGCATCTCTCTCTCACTAACACTGAGGTGATGCCAAAGCCCCATTTTACAGATAGGGACACTTAGGCTCAGAGGTCTGCTAGCCTGTAGCCTTTATTTGTGTGGCTTCATGCATATGAAGCATGTGTCACCAGGCTTGGCATCATCGGCCAGTCCTGTAAATTAGTTATTGTCATAGGTACTTTTTATATATTTTTACATTCAAGAATGAGCTGTCATTCAGCTGCTGAGTCAGGCCCTTATGTCTGGAGGGGAGAAGGGGTGGTTTCTGTCTTGAAACTGAGTCACCTGTGGGAGGGGCATTGAACACAGCCCCAGGGCTCTAAAATGAGTCATCTCTTCACAGACCAATGAGCAATCCTATCAGGGACCCCATAGTGCATCACTCAGGTTGGGAAAATGAGGTCCAGGAAGGGTCAAGGTTCTTCTGAGGTCACATAGCACAGGGACAGAGACAGGGAGATCTGATTCCTGACAAAGGGGTTAGACAGGGGCAGGGGTTCTGTGGGGGAAGCGTCCTATCCTTCCAGCAGGGAGAGAGGACCCAGCCAGCTGCTTCTATTCCAGGCTGTGAGAAGAGGGGTGAGTCAGCCTGTTGCGGGGGGAGGGGGAAGCAGGCTTTAAACCATCCTGTTCCCCCACCTCATCCCTCCAGCCTCAAGACGCACACACCCAGATGGGCTGGGAGCTGGTGTTCTGAGATGCCAAGGATCCTGACTCAGAACTGGGAATCTTGGCTGAGTGTGTTCTGGGAAATATCAGGCCTACAGGAAACAGGAGTCCCACTCAGACCATCATGTAGGTGGGCGGGGAGCAGAGAGAGCAGGAAATATGAAGGAACAGGGGCGGGCCCAGTATGCCAGGGGCTGAGTGTAAGGGGGTTTGTTTACAGCGGCGAGAGTTGAGAGTGCGAGAGGGAGGCAATCGGCCAGTAAGGAAGGGAGTTTATATGTGCAAGGGAGAGAGGAGGCTGGGTGCCAGGATGTGGGTGTTTGAAGCAGAGGATGGGTGTGCAAAGTGAAGGGGCTCCATGTGCACGGGAAATGTTTGCTGGGAATACGGGTGTTCAAAGGAGAAATGCTGAGCCTGCTGGGGGTATTGAAATAAAAAAGGGGGTTCGCAAGATGTTCGTGCAGAGGACACGTGTGGAGTTTGTAAGGGAGAGAGTTGTTTGCAAAGAAAGCAGTGTAGGGAACAGAAAGGTCGGCAACCCACAGGCACTTTGAGATGAGTGGAAAGGCATAAAAGCCCATGTGTGTGTCCCTCGCGTGGCCTCTGCAATCTCCCGCGGATCCAAACACCCAACCTTAGACCCCGCCTCCTACGCACGGCAAGAAGTTCTTTGTACCAGTCAGCGAGCTGCTGCTCCGTCATTGGTTAGCTGCCCAGCGTGAGGCCCCAGGAAGCGCTGGAGGCCCCCACGTTTTGCGGACCCGGAGCCCCGGAGCAGTGGGTGCTTAGCAACGGGGGAGGTATCCAGTAATGGGGTCGGGGGTACACAAGAGGAATTGTGGGTGCCTAGCAACAGAGGTGAAGGCGGTGCCTAGCGACGAGGGAAGCTCAGAGAAGTGGAGAGGGAGCCCTGGAGAATCTGTGGGTGTCTAGCAACGGGGAAGGACCCTAGCAACGGCAGGGAGTGAGGCAGGGGGAAAGTCAGTTTTGGGCTGAGCAAAAAGAGTTATACGTTTCTAGCAACGAGAGAGGGAACCCGGAGAAACTGGAGGGACCTTTATCGGGGGAGGGAGTTTTTGCTGGGTGGAATTTTTAGGGTGAACACGGAGGTATGTGAAGGCTTGGGGTGGGGGAGCAAAGCACGGAGGCCAGTCCCACCACAACTACCCTAGGATTTTTTCCTCTTCTCCCCCAGGCAATGTGGCTGGAGGTTGGGGGCCTACTGCGAGGGACCTGTGGACAACTGGGCCGGACTGTTGGTCTACCTTACGGGGCCCTGGGGTCTGGACCCCACTGGTGGGTAAGAGGCCGGGGAAAGGTCTCCAAGGGGAAGAGCCTGAGGGAGGCGTCAGTAAGTAAAGGGGCAGAGAGGAATCCAAAGGGCCAGGCGGACCCCACGTCTTCTACTTCTTGCCAATGTCCGCATCTCTTGCAGGGGCCATGCGGGTGTTCTTGGGCCCAAAAGCTTCATCAGGGTGGGCCTGGAAGAGGTCTGAGTGAGGAGGACATTTGCAAGGCCCGGGAGGCCCGGCTCAGGAAGACACCTCGGCCCCAGGTATCATTGCCTCCCATCCACCCAGCAACACTCCATGAAGATACTGGGCCCCCTGAGCTTGAGGAAGGGTGTGGTGGCAGGTTGGCTGTAGTCCCTGGGCACTATACCCAACTTCCCACCCTCAGACCTTCTCCCCATTTTCCAGCTCAATGACCGCTCTCGAGAACGCAAGGTGCCTGCCTCCCGCATCAGCCGCTTGGCTAACTTTGGGGGTAGGTGTGATTGTGGGAGATTGTGACCTAGATCAGAGGAAGCAATATCTACAGAATGAAGCAAAGAAGAGGGTGAATCGGAGACAGAGAGGAGGGAGAGATGAAAAGAAAATGAAAGCAAAGACCTGTAACGCCAAGAGAAACAGAGGGGGAAGTAGCCTTTATTGAGAACTTGGAAGAATGCACAAGGACCCATACATGTGACCCCTCTGCACCGAGTGAATAATTGTTTATTTCCATTCTATAGATGAGGAGGGCACGGAGGCTAAGGGAGGTGAAGTGACTTGACCCCATGTTAGCAGCAGAACTCACAATTCAGGTGACAATCTGCATGAAATAATTTAGTGAGTGCAACCATCATTAAGAAGAAGAATAGAATGGAAAATAGGAGTGCACCTGTAGAGTAAGGGAAAATATTTTTTTATAAAACATTATATATACATTGGTCTCTACTGGTTACAATGCAAATGTCTTCCTTACTGCACATCATGGTTCCAGCTGTAAAGACAGCGAT